GTATATCACTTGCTATCTCTTTTCCTGTCCCTAACTTTAACTTTATATTTTCAGATCTAAGTTCTAATACAGTTGTATCAAGTGCATGAACCTGGTTCTTCAAAGCAGTATTTTTCTTTTCAGTTTTACAAACGTTTATTTCCAGGTTTTTGCATTCTGCTTTTAAAAAGTTACTCTTTTGACAACTGTTCTTTTTTAGAACTTATATTCTTAGATTCATCAATTAAAGTTAGCAACAATTCTGATAGTCTATCTTTAGAAAGGAGTTTAATTTTATCCTTAAGGTCCAGAAAACTTATCTCAGATTCTTCATCAGGTTCATCTTCAGATTCTCGAATTGCTAATGAGAGTTTGTGCAGCATTATCATCAGTGTCCTCATTTGAACTATCTTTCCAAGTAGCAACCATTGCTTTGGATGACCTTTTGTTATAGTTCTTCTTGTCATGAACATGTTCCTTCTTTTTGTTCCTTCTTTCAGATTTCTCCTTTTTCCACTCGACTTCCCACATAGGACAGTTCTTGATCATGTGGTTCTTTTTACCACATTTGAAGCACCCATCAGTCATATGAAAGTGATCTCTTCTCCTCTCCTTCCACAAAGAATAGCAGTGATCATTGAATAGTGGTGGCCTAGTGGTGGATTACTCTTTACAGTTTCCAGGTAGTGCACTCATCTTGATCTTTTCCTAAGGTGTTAGCCTCTTGTAGGATAACCTGCTCTGATACCAATTGATGTTTTATACTTCAATACCACACAAGAGGAGGGGGGGGGTGTTGGTTTGTGTGGTGCCTGATTTTCACGTGCACTGGATTATCGAAGGACCTGGTTCTTCTATGCGTTCCTTATACTACAGTTGCGGAATAAATAATGCAGAATGTAAAGAACACAAGGATTTTTATATGGAAAACACCCGGTTTAAAAGGTGAAAAAACCACGACCTACTACCCAGTAGGATTTTCTCCAAACACTTCACTACAACTCCGAGCCAACAACAAAGTTTACAACCTCTTGCAAACCTAAGGATTACCTCTAACCCTTGTAGCAACCAGCCACAGGCTGTTGCGACTGCTTCAAGTAAACTCTAACTTGAACAATACAACTAGAGTTTACAACCTCTTGCAAACCTAAGGATTAACTCTAACCCTTGTAGCAACACGCCACAGGCTGTTGCAACTACTTCAAGTTACCTCTAACTTGAAAGATACAACTCAGGTACCTAGTACAATTTGCTTCTTAGAAAGCTGAAAGGTACAACTCAAAACGCCTACTACATTTTGAACTAGAAATAAAGAAAGACACGTAAAACTCTTTATGGAGCTGGTTCTTCAATCGGATTCGTGTAGCTTCAGGATCGCACTCTTAAATCTCACAGAAATTGCTCACAAAATGCCTTGCTATTTTGCTCTCAATTCGTGCTTAACTTCAGTATGTGTGCATCGCCTGTAAAAGAGAACACAACTGATATATATAGAGTTAGTAAATAAAGATTAACTAGAAGTCTAATGCTTTACTCTTCCTTGGTGGAAGAGTTCTAGTTATCTTCAACTTCTAACTCTTTCCTTATCTTGGATAGAGTTCTCTTCAAGTAAGGAGTCCTGCTCCTTATCAAATATGCAACCTTTTCGTTCAGGGATTATCATAAATAACCACTTATACTTATCCCTTTCACGTGCATGCCTTTTGCTTGATTCTGCCCGTCACCTGTGTACACTGTCCATGGACCTGGTTCATGCATGTGTTCCTTTGTCAATCATCAAAACAAATTTACTCATGCCAACATACGCCTTTTCTAGGTCTATAAACACCATGTGTAGGTCCTTCTTTCTCTCCCTATACTGTTCTACCAATCTCCTCAGTAGATGAGTGGCTTCCATAGTCGATCGCCCCGGCATGAATCCAAACTGATTCTCGGAAAGTTCTGAAACTCGTATGAAATTATAAATTAACTAGAGTGGATTTCTAATTAAATTACCTTAACTTTTTGAGATGGGGTTTCTAATGATGTTTGTAATTGTTGAAGTTTCATTTCAATTTTGTTTTTTTTGGCATGAATTGGGAAAAAATATTTGGCGTTAATATCAGCTGGACACTTTTAATTTTAGACTTAACATGTTGAAATGTCACGTGAAATCAGTGTGTATGTTTTTCTTGTTTAACATCTAGACAGGTTGCTGTGATTCAAGTTAGTGTTTTCCTTTAAGCTTCATTATGTGTTTGTTTGCCATATGCTTAATTCATTTTTGTTAAATATTCGGCATTCACTTTCGTTTTTTTGTTCTTTTTGTTTTTAAGAAAAGGAAATTGACTTTCCATATGGCTGATATTTATCTACAGGGGTCTAACTGGGAACTTAAAGGTTGTAGATTGAGTCTTCCTGATAGAGAAAAAGGAGAGAATGAAGGGACTTCCAAAAGGACTCCGTGATAGAGAGAACGGAGAGGAGTTTAAGGAGTTTGAGGTAGTCTACAAATGACGCACACATGGGAAGTGTAAGAAGTTTAGGAAGTAGATGACTTTAGCATTTGTTAGTTATGTTTCATATAATTCCTGTAGCAGTTATTAGTAGTAGGCCACTTTCTCATTCCAATAGTTTTAGGAAGTTATTTCCTAGTTTTTAGGTGGGTGGTGAATTCACCGGTCTTTTTATTTAAAGTTATTTGAATTCTGTGAAAGGTATATAGAAAATTATTCCAGTCTTTGTGCAGGTTCTTTTTTTAACGAACCAGCACCATAGGTCGCAAAAAGAAGACTACTTCCCAGACTAACTCTGATTTTATCTTGTAACTAGATTTATAATAGGGGACCATAAAAACTTTCGAAAGGACGAAAAGGGGAGATTAGTTTTGTGCAATGCTCTTATTATGCGAGACTGTAATCTTCTAAGCTAGTGGTTACTTTGTACTCAAGTGACTGCAGGTTCTTATTGTCCTTATGTTTGAACCAAGTAATCGTCTCTCTTCTTACGAAGAGGTGTTCGAATAAGTTCGGAGACTCAGTCAACCTTATCTTTAGCGTGGATATCTATGTTACACCGAAACGGAAGCCACTATCGAGGATTCCTGACGAGCTTAAAACACAATTAAAGTGCAATAAGCGATTAAAACACGAGATTATAGCCTACCATCAATACCCCACACTTAAATCATTGCTCGTTCTCGAGCAATCAAATTACGACACGACCTTTTTAAACAAGTCTCCTAACTCATCATAGCAAGAATATTTAAAATAGATTAAGCACAATAGTGTAACATCTTCACCTCAAGATTTGACTCAAAAGCACCACGCGTTATTTATAATCCGCTCACTTACTCTAACATAGAGGTCAATGACATTACCTTTCCTTCATGAATTAAGTGCCCTCACACAACAATCGAGATTAGTTCCACACACAATAAAATTTTAGAATTAGGAATTCAAGACAGAAAGAATTTACTCACTCTCAGAAACAACATTCATATGCACCTTTCTCCTTATTTCATTAGTTCCACTCAAAAGCCAAACCAACCACCCCACACTTCAACTTTTACAAAGTTCATAGCCACTTCAAGTACTCATGGGAGGTACAAGGTTCAAATAGATTGTCAATTCAAATAAATGGGTAGGGCTTGTAATTAGGGGTGATCAAAACCGAACCGAAACCGAACCGCAAAAATGGCTTAATGGCTTATTGGTATCGGGTTAACGGTTTGACGGATGGGGAACCGATTGAATTTTTTTTATTAACGGCAAATCGGTTTGGGGACGGATTATTCAATTTTCTTAACGGATAATCCGTTAACCCGTTAAGAATATATATGTAATATGTATATTAAATAAGTAATAAAAATCCCTTTCTTATCGTGGGCCGTGGAATTATACAAGCAAAAGTGTTAAAACTTAAAAGTGTTTCTTTACAGTTGTCTACTTGTCCAGTACCCTTATTTACCAATACTCTATTAGGCATTCAGATTTGAGACATTAGAAAATAGAAACCCTAACGTCTAAAAGTGTTAATTTCAGTATTACACCCAGCAGCTAGAGCAGCAGATTCACTGTCTCCCTCTCGCTAACTCGCCTCTCTATCTCGCCTCTCCCTCTCGCCAACTCGTCGTCTCGCCTCTCCCTGTCGTCATAGCCAGAGCCCAGAGCAGCATATGGTAAGTTTCTTTTCTTGTTAAAATTCCAACTGTTGCCTTCTCTGCCTTGTGCTGTTTTGAGATCGATTTTGACAGTTTTTGTTTAAATATCTATTAAGGAAATGGTTATTTTCATTCCTTTTCTTTTCTTGTTGTAGTGACTCATAGCATGGCTGAAAATATACAAAGTGATAAGATGATGGGTGAAAGTGGGGCTTCTAATTCAAATGCAATAAGCCAATCTGAAACAACGGAGTCAAATATAACCAAAAAAAGAAAATAAAAGGTCTATTGTGTGGGATCATTTTACAGAAATTATTACTTCCGAAGGAAGTACAAAAGCAAAATGTGACTATTGCTTTATTGAGTATTGTTTTAAGACCAAAGACGGTACGTCGACACTTCTTTCTCATATGTTTAAATGTCCTAAACGCCCTGCTATTGTTGATAAAAAACAATCAAATTTAGGTTTTCAATCTGTTCCGGGGGTAGTCAGGGTGACGTAGCTGTTGTTACTTGGAAATTTGATCAAGAAGAGTGTAGGAAGGCGTTATGTCGTATGGTAATAGTTGATGAGCTTCCTTTCAGCTTTGTTGAGAAAGAAGGTTTTAGAGACTTTATGAAAGTGGCGCAACCTTATTTTCGGATCCCTTCCCGTAGTACTGTAACTAGGGATTGTTTTGATCTTTTTAATGACGAAAAGCAAAAGTTGAAGAGGTCTTTTATAGAAACGAAACAAAGAGTATGTATTACCACTGATACATGGACTTCTATACAAAGAATCAATTATATGTGTATCATTGCCCATTGGATTGATAGTGAATGGAATATGCATAAAAGAATAATTAATTTTTGTCCTATAGTTAGTCATAAAGGCGAAGATATGGCAAATGGTTATGGTAGGTGCTTATGTGAGTGGGGGATAAATAAGATCTTCACTGTCACAGTTGATAATGCAAGCTCCAATGATGTGACAGTAAAAGAATTGTCTAAGCAATTAACAAAAATGAGAACTAATTTGATGAACGGTAATCACCTTCACGTGAGATGTATGGCTCACATCATGAATCTTGTGGTCCAAGATGGTTTAAAAGAATCTTCAGTGTCTATTGAATGTGTTAGGCATGCAGTGAGATATGTTAGGCAGTCTCCTGCGAGGTTGAAGAAGTTTCAAGAATATTTTGATGATGAACAACTCAATTGTAAAAAAAATTTGTGCTTGGATGTTCCAACTAGGTGGAATTCCACCTACTTGATGTTGCATAGGGCTGTTGAATTTGAAAGTGCATTTTCACATTATGCATCTAGTGAAATTGACCTAAGATATTATCTTGAGCATTCTTATATTGAAGTTGGAATTCCTACAGGTGAACTTTTGAGTAGTGATTGGGAGAATGTAAAAAGAATTACAAAGTTTCTTGAAATCTTCTATCTTCTTACTTTGAAAATATCTGGATCACGTTATGTTACATCGAATATTCATTTTCTTGAAATTTATGCGGTTGCTGTTTATTTGAAGCAATTGATAGCAAATGAAGATACAGTCTTAAGTGAAATGGCAAAGAAGATGAAGGAAAAGTTTAATAAGTATTGTGGTGATCCAGGGAAAATGAACAAGATAATTTTCATCTCATGTATTTTGGATCCACATTACAAGCTCGAATCAATTGGTTATGCACTTGTAAAGATGTTTGGTGAAGATCCGGGGGCAACTATACAAGCAGAAGTGAAGAAGTACATGACTTCATTATTTTGTGAGTATGTAAAGTCCAGCTCAAAAGGTGTCGTGCTTGCTTCATCTTCATATTGTTCTTCATTGGACACTTCTACTTTCGGGCTTTCTGACAGTCAAGTAAGCACCCAAAATACAGGACTTTTGGAATCACTAATGCAAGATATAAAAAAATATAAAAGTGGGAGTGGAGGTGTGGATACTAAAACAGAGTTAGATAAATACTGAGTATGACACTAAAGAATTTGATGTTCTTCTCTGGTGGAAATTGAACTCAGCTGGCTCGTGATGTATTAGAGATTTCGGTTTCAAGCGTGGCATCCGAATGTGCGTTTAGTACGGGAGGACATCTTCTTGATTCATTTAGGAGTTTATTAACTCCTAAATTGGTGCAAGCTCTAGTGTGTCTTCAAGATTGACTTCAAAATGAAAAATTAAAACAACCTGTTAGTGTTGAGGAAGATATTGATCAAATCGAGCAGCTTGAACAAGGTAATAATATTGTTACTATATTTGTTGTATATAAGTGTTGTGGATATGCTTATATTTATCACACGACTTATTATTTTAATTTATTTTCTTCAGATTTAGCCAGCGATAAAAAAGACCCTTCCGTAATTGACGTGTAGTGTTAATATATCTGGTAAGAATTCGAATTGTAATA